TGCCCCGAGAGGGCTTTACCTCCTACGAATATTCACCAAGTTCAAGCAGTGCTCAAACTTCTCCGTCGGTAGCGCCTTTGTCAACATATCAGCTGGATTGTGCTCTGTAGCTATTTTCTGAATAGAAAACTTGTCTTCCTCCAGAACATCACGGATAAAATTCAACCTTACATCAATGTGTTTGGTTCTCTCATGATACACTGGATTTTTAGCCAAACTCAAAGCACTTTGACTATCACAGAATAACACCGGTTTCTCCACCTTCAGGCCCAAACTCTGCACCAGACCATGTAACCAGATACCCTCCTTAATACCTTCAGTCATTGACATGTATTCCGCCTCAGTCGTCGACAATGCAACCGTAGGTTGTAAAGTAGACTTCCAACTGACTGCACATCCAAACAAAGTGAAGATAAAACAAGTTAGTGATCTTCGTTTCACCAAGTCACCCCCGTAATCAGAGTCTGCATAGCCAACAAGACCATCACCATGGCCTTTATCATCATATACCAGACAAATATCAGACGCTCCTTTCAAATATCGCAAGATCCACTTTACAGCTCCCCAGTGAGCTTTACCCGGATTAGCCATAAACCTGCTCACCACACTAACCGCATAAGCGAGATCCGGTCTCGTACATACCATCGCATACATAAGACTTCCAACTGCACTTGAATATGGAACCGTCTTCATGTAACTAACCTCTTCATCTGTAGCCGGTATAGTGCTTCGATCAAGTTTAAAGTGTGCCGCCAAAGGGGTACTTACCGGTTTGGACTGCTCAACAGAGAATGCTTGCAAAACTTTCTCAATATACTTTTCTTGAGAAACCCATAACCGTCTTGCTTCTCTATCACGCCAGATCTCCATACCAAGTATTTTCTTTGCCGCACCCAAATCCTTCATCTCAAACTCACCCTTTAGTAGAGCCTTCAAGTCATTAATTACAGCCATATTTTTAGCTGCAATTAACATATCATCCACATACAACAGCAGATACACAAAGGAATCAGTAGAAACTTTCTTCGAGTAAACACAGTTATCAAACTGATTACGAGTATAACCATTAGACACCATGAATGAGTCAAATCTCTTGTACCATTGCCTCGGAGACTGCTTCAAGCCATACAGAGATTTCTTTAACAAGCATACCTGGTCCCCTTTAGAACTGTAGAACCCCTCTGGTTGAGACATGTAAATCTGTTCTTCTAGATTACCATGAAGGAATGCTGTTTTTACATCAAGCTGTTCCAGCTCCAGATCAAAAGCACCCACCATTGCCAAAAGAACCCGAATGGTTTTGTGTTTCACCACAGGAGAAAAGACTTCATGGTAATCGATTCCTTCCTTCTGTGAAAACCCTTTTGCCACCAGTCTCGCCTTGAACCTAGCAGGTTCAACACCAGGAATTCCCTCCTTTCTTTTAAAGACCCACTTGCATCCCACTGGCTTCACCCCTTTTGGTAGTGCAACAAGATCCCAAGTCTTGTTCTTTTCAAGAGACTGCATCTCTTCATTCATTGCCATAATCCAGGTTTCTGCATCTTTACTCGCCACAGCTTCTTTATATGTCTTTGGCTCATCAGAGCCAAGATCATCACCAACCGCTAGTGCATAAGCAACAGAATCCATGTCACACGTATTGACACATCCTGCAAACCTAGCTGGTTTCTGAATATTTCTCTTTCCCTTTCTTGCTGCTATGGAATCTTCAACCCCCGTACCAGCGTCATCAGCTTCCCCCTCAACCGGTTTCCCTTGAGGTTTTGACTGATCTGGTTGATCGGATTGATCAATATTATTATCCTGCTGCTTTTCCTCTAACACAACTCTGTCAGGAGTCTCAAACTCCACCCTCTGGTTAGCACCACAATCTTTTGTACCTGCAATACTTTCACAACCTCTACTCTGATCAAGCATAGCAGATTCATCAAAGGTTACATCTCTGCTAATAAGAAATTTACCAGGATTTTTACCTTCTGTACACCACAGTCGATAACCTTTTACTCCTGTTGCATACCCTAGAAATATGCATTTTACCGCCCTCGGCTCCAGCTTACCATCATTCACATGAGCGTATGCAGGGCATCCAAATATTCTTAGATTAGAGTAATCAGAGGGTTTACCGGACCATACCTCTTGAGGAGTCTTTAAGTCAATTGCAGTTGATGGAGATCTATTAACCAGATAGCTAGCAGTGTTTACTGCTTCAGCCCAGAATTGCTTAGACAAGCCAGCAAATATGCGCATACACCTAGCACGCGCCATGAGGGTTTGATTCATTCGCTCTGCAACTCCATTTTGCTGTGGTGTGTGTCGTACAGTGCGGTGCCTCACTATACCTTCTTTCTTGCAGAAATCATCAAATGGAGCGTTGCAGAACTCCAACCCATTATCAGTTCTTAGAGTCTTGACCTGTTTACCCGTCCGTTTTTCAACCATGGTCTTCCACTCCTTGAACTTCCCAAACACCTCATCTTTAGTTTTCAGAAAGTACAACCAGACTTTTCTCGAATAATCATCTATGAAAGTGACAAAGTAAGAACACCCGCCCTGTGATTTCACCGGAGAGGGACCCCATAGATCTGAATGAACATACTCCAGAATTTGTTTTGAAGTGTGATGACCGGTACTAAACCTCACCTTGCGTTGCTTCCCTTTGACACAAGCCTCACAGAATTGAATTTTACCTATCACATCTCCACCAAATAAACCCTGCTTGCTCAACACAGACAACCCTAACTCACTCATGTGACCTAATCGCCGGTGCCACAAATTTGTCCTATCATCATGTTTATCCAAGGACTGAGATACCGCCGCCGTTCCCATCACTGAACTGCCCTGTAGAAAATAAATTCCATGCTGCAGTTTTCCCTTCATCATTACCAGCGCACCTTTCAAGACTTTCACCCACTCACCTTCACCATGATATTTTAAACCATTCTTGGCTAAGGTCCCAAGAGAAATCAAATTCTTTCTGAGTTCAGGAACATACCAACAGTCAAATTTTCTGACAGTACCGTCATGCAATTTTATCTGCACTACCCCGCTCCCTTTTATGGCTAGAACCCCATCATCACCTAACTTCACCGTTCCATTCCACTCCTTAAAAGAAGTGAGTAGATCACGAGAGAACGTCATATGGTGAGAAGCACCGGTATCCATAATCCAGGAATCAGCAGTACTAGCACTACACGCTGTCAGAACTTCACCAAAGTCCCCATCATCAGAACTGTCTTGTACCACAGCAGCACTGCTGCCACTGTTACTAGAATCAACTTTTGTATTTCCCTTCTTTTGTGGACAATCCCTTTTAACGTGCCCTTTCTCCTTGCAAAGATAACACTTAACTTTGCTAGAGGATTTTGATTTTGAACGCGACCTCCCATTCCCGTTACCCCTCTCCTGTGGTCTTCCCCTACCTGCAAACAGACCTGAACCAGAACCCTCTTCCAGAGAAACCTTTCTTTTCAATTCTTTGGACATAAGGGCATCTTTCACATCATTAACAGAAATTGTAGTTCTACCATATAGCATAGTATCTACAAAATTCTCATATGAACCAGGTAGTGAACACAATAAAATTAGGGCTTGGTCTTCATCATCTACTTTAACCTCAACTCCTTGAAGATCAAGAATGATACGGTTAAAGGTATCAAGATGATCCTTTACCTGAGTACTTTCGGACATCCGGAGGGTGTAAAGACGTTGCTTCTGATATAGCCTGTTCGTGAGAGAGTTGTTTTGGTACTTCTCACACAGTTTATTCCATAACCCAAAAGCCGTTGTCTGATCTACAACCTCCCGTAACACCTCATCAGTAACTGACAGCAAGATCGCGGAATGAGCCCTTGCCAAAATCTCCTTATTTACCTCCTCCTTCGTGTCTTTAGGAAACTTGTCTTCTCCCTCCAACGCAGCCGCACATCCTTGTTGAACCAGAAGTGCCCTCATCTTGACCTTCCAGAGCGTGAAGTCATTCGACCCATTAAACTTCTCCAGATCAAATTTATACGAGGACATCTTCAATCAATGAGATATGGCTCTGATACCACTTGTTATGAGAAAACGAGAAAGAAAGCAAATAAAGAACATAGAGGTTTTACGTGGTTCGGTGACGGTGTGTCAACCTACGTCCACGGGCAGGAACCGGAGAGATTTTATTATACTGATTCAGAGATTTACAATGTGTCATCCGACTAAGAACCATAGTTGTCTATTTATAAGCACCCCAAAACACCCTAAACCGTAAGCCTATTTGTTATCGATTAGGATAAGCCCAAAAGGAACCCTGCCAATTGAAACAGCCATTTCGCTTTGGTTTAGGGTCGGGTAGACCGCTAAATCCAAGTCACGTTTCAACAATTATATCTCATGTTGGAAGTTAAACACAAGTGAGCTGTATGTATTTATATACAATTTTATTCAAGAGGTGTGTGTTCGAAATATTTACGATTTTCAAGAACACTTATATAACTTCTTTTAATTGACAATAAAAATCCCAATAAATCGTTAGCACTAAAGAAGGAACACTCCCTAATCATTGAAGATAGTAAAAACAATCGTATCACAATAGAAAATTAAAAAGACAAAATTAGACAATCTAAATATGCATGCATATATATACACACATATATATAATGTGTTTACTATATTAAATTTAATTTTTAAGTTATATTTAGAATGAAAATAATTTTTGCATATATAATTGCAGCAATAAAAGTCAAAATAGCTATTTTTACAATCAAAAAGAGCCAAAGAGAAATTCTATCATATGATATCATCATTATAAAGAATTAAAGATAGGAGAAATGCCAACTGTTCAGCATCAAGCTATCTATGGTGAGATCAATAGATACTTCAACAACTCCCAACTAATTATCCATTAATGCGACGAAGCAAAACTCCAATAAAGGATTCAACTCTTCCCCAATCGGCGCCATCTCCGACCACGTCACCGTACCTCGCCCCGTCGTCTATCCGATCCTCCAATCTCTGCTCCATCTCCCTATAAATACACTGCACCCCCGCCATTGATGCCTCATCCTTAATTTCTCCAAGCTATCCAAAATGTCCAGAAGCATTACCCTCTTTGCCTTTCTCCTTCTCCTCTCTTCGGCCGCAACTGCCGAACTCACTCAAGGTGCTTATACCCTACCTACTTATCTTCTTCACTATTCCACAGTTCATCAAAACGTCTGATTCTAATATGTATTTTTGAATCGTGTGCAGGTGATGCAGTGAAGGAACCAGACCAAGGTCGGGGAGGTTACTGCCGTCGCCGGTATTGCTGCGGCGGGTGGGACAGGTACGGACGGTGCAGGGATTATTGCTGCCGCCGGGAACTAGGTGATCGATTATTAGTCGATTCAGATTTCAATTTGCATGTGTTTGATTTGGTATCTAGGGTTTAATGTATTTCTATGATTTTTATTTCATGTAATTTATGAAGTGGCCTGGTTGTTGCAGGAAATGCAGACAATGAAGCAGAGCCGGCCCATTTTATAGGTAGTGGAGTCTTTGGTTGGGGACACAGCGGAGGCGGCTGGGGTAATAATGGTGGTGGCCAAGGTGGTGGTGGCGGTGGTAGTGGACAAGGTGGAGGTAACTATGGTGGTGGACAAGGCAGCGGAAGCCAAGGTGGAGGTAACTATGGTGGTGGACATGGTGGCGGAGGCCAAGGTGGCAGTGGTGGACAAGGCGGTGGAGGCCAAGGAGGTGGCGGCGGCGGCGGTGGTGGTGGCGGCGGCGGTGGCGGTGGACATCAAGGCGGAGGATGCAATTACGGCTGCTGCGGAAAGTACAACGGAGGGTGCAAATGTTGTGGAAGCGTGGCCGAGGCCAAAGCTTTCAAAGAAGCCGCCGAGGTTAAGGGCAACGCCGGCGAGCAAACCAAAACCTAATGTTAAGTTATTGTATACATGCATCGCTATGTCTCAAAATATTTAAATACGCATGTAATAAAAATGTGTATGCCCTCGTACACATTAACCTATGGAATAATAATAATCGGGGGTTACATTTTGATATCGATCTAGATCCTATATCTTCTTATTCCTATTATTTCCACTTTGGTTTATTTATCACATATTTTTACTCATGATAGAAATTTCAATTTGAAGCCTTTATTTAAGTAATAAAAACACGTTTCTTATTCTTTCCATTTTCCTTGTCATCACATTACTTCAAATTTCCAACAGTAATACTTAAATTACAATGATATACATATATATTTGTATATTAAAGAAATGATAATTAATTAGATATAAAATCATGTATATTTATCAGTTTTTGATCTGTGTTTTGGATTGGGTTTGTGTGTATTGAATGGCTTGAGCAACAGAGTTGCAGCAAGTGCATCCAAAATAGCCTCCTCCTTTAAGGCTATACCCAAAAGTTGCGCTGCAGCAGCCCAACTTACATTTTTGGCCGCTGCCGTAAATCCCGCCGGAGCTGAACCCTCCGATGAACCCCCCGCTGTCGCTCCCGAACAACCACGCCGTGTCTTCCACTCCCATCCCGCCGTCGTTGCTACTCGGTGCTTCACTATTTACACTCCCTGCATGCATATATATATACGGATATGGGTAATAGAGAAGTCTTGAGGATGTATTTTTGTGATTAGTGTTTTAGTTTGAGATATGTTTTTACGACAAAATTTGGTGAGTAATATAAAAAGTTATATATTTTTTTTTTATTAAATATTGGCTTTTTATGAAAGAATAAAATGTAAAATTTAATAGTAAAAATATATGATGAACAAATCTTGAGTTTGGAAATTTTTTAAAAAAATTTCTATCATTCATCTTTGAGGATATGCTATAAAAATTATATATATATATATATTATATTTTTTTCTACAAAACATTATATAAAAATCATTTTTCAAATCAAAAATCTAAATCTAAATTTAAAAGAAAAATAACCAACCAAACACTCGACTACTTTCAAGAAAATGTCATGTTATATACTTAAAATTTCGGTTATTCATCATGTAAGTTTAAATTTCTTGATGAAGAATGACAATAATTATGACAAAATTACGACCATGCAAACTAAAATGTCAAAAAAGTAGAATCTAAGATATATTCAATGTCAATAATTAATGTGAGTATTTCGAGCACGTATGTTGTTGTCTTTTATTAGAACTCTAACAAAATTATTTTGTAGTATTTAGAGATAATTATCTAACATAATGAATATTTATTAAAATTAGGACAAATAACTCATTATAACATATAGAATTCCATTTTCATCATCATATAGAAAAACTCTTGATCAATTGAATATTGTCATTTAACTATCTTATAAAGAACTTTACTGAAAAAATCAAATGACCATATTACACATGCATACACACCTTGTGTGTCCTTGGTAGGCAGCGACACATCGAGAAGTCGAAGACTAGTCTTGTGCTTATCGGCAAAAACTGATGAAACGGCTAATAAAAGGGCGACGACAACGAAAACAACAGCTCTAGACTTCATTTTTATTACTTGTAAAAATTTATTTCTTAAGAATCTCAAATGTGATGATAATATAAACTAGGGAAGGATCATAATTTATAGAGGTCGCGAGTCGAGGTGCATTGATGTCGGATTCTTTGGCATTTTTCGCCGATACAATAACATAAGTTATTATTTCTGGTGAGAGTTGAACAGTGCTGTCTTAAATTTATTCGGACATTGTTTTAGGTCAGCAGCTGATGGAGAAGATACAGATTGTTACACAAATATGTTGCTGCCATTATTGCAACATGACGAGCATCAAATTTTGCTTCAAAATCATTACGAATATATAAAATAAAAAAAAATATATGTGTATAGGATGAATGAGGAAATTGCAGTTAGGAAAATGGTAGGTGGAGTGAGTGAATCTTCATGAATAGAAATTAATTTTCATTTATTTCTGGTCATCTGTCCAATGGTTATCATAAATTCAAATTTCTTTAAATGCCAACATTGAGGGTAAATTATAAGATACAAATATTTTTGACATGATCTCATTGAATTTGTGTTGACACTCAAAAAATAAAGATAAAAGTAGAAATGAAAAATAGATCAATTTGGAAGATCTAGAGGTGTAACAGAGGCATTTTCCTGTAACAAAAGTTTTTCATACAGAAGGAGAAAATATTGTCTAAATGAATATCTACTTAAAAAAAAAAAAAAAAAAAGAAGTTATTTCATAAAACAAAAAAAAAAATGTCATTGAAAATAAGATTCTAGAAAATAATAATTTAAAAAAACCTCTTAAATTAAAATTATTTATTTAATAATATTTTATTAATTAGTAGAAATTTGTAATACATAGTATTGATAGTCTTGTCCTTCTAAATATAAAATAAATAACTATTTTTATTAAAATTAAAAATATTTTAATATTTATATATACATTATTTTATTATAATAAAAAATAAATATTTTTTTAATAAGACAAATAAAAAAATTAATAAAATACTAGTTACTTTGAATTAGAATGAAAAAAGTATTGTAATTTTGAAAACTTTGGTTAAAGAAAAAAAATTGACAAAATTTTTTAAGTTTACTAGTATTTGAATTTTGCAATTTTTTTTTTAAAAAAATATATTCTTTATATACTATATAACATTCTATTAAACATAATTTTAATATCAAATTTAAATAAATTTTTTTAAACCAAAAAAAAAAAAGGGAAAATCGTAGAAACAAATCTGAAATGTAGTGTGAGCAGGAAGGAGTAGAAAAAAACTCATTTATAGACTCACCTTTCTCAGTATAGTTCTGAATTTTACAGCGATAGCCATAGCCATAGCCATAGGCCCTACGCTTAATTACCTTATATAGCTAACGTGTCACCTTCTTATAATTTATAGGTGAGTGTCCTTGCTTGGATTGGATTTGCAACTATCCAAATAATTTTATTTAATTTATACTAATATACTATGACTAATTTTAGAAGATTTTGATACTATTATTTAATTTTTTGAAATTGGATTTGAATGAATTTTGCATATGTCGAACAGTGGAGACCGATCGATCGAGTTTAAGATCATTAGTAGTTTTTTTGGTTTAAACGAATAAGAAAAACATCAATGGTCATTTAAAAGCTCATTTTTATTTGAATTTGTTGCAGAGATGCATAAATAAATATTATGACCAAAATAAACAAATAATGGAACACAATGATTAAAATATATTGGTCATTCATTTAATAAGCAATAGAGAGGAGGTTGTTCTTTACTCATTACACCATTCATTCTCAAATTATATATATATATATATATTATTTTATAAAACATTGATTTAATGCTAATTAAAAATTATTTCACCCTAATAATAGTATTATAACTTCTCAAACTATTTTTATAATCTTTAATAGTTAACAATTAAAATTTTGATATAAAATGTTAGCAATCAGATCTGCCGCTTATAAATAGAAACCACAAAATGAGCAAATACAATACAATAGCTAGCATTGATTAAAAGAGAAAACACACGTAGATACTGCTATTAGTATTTAATTCTATTCTTTTTATAGTAACTTATTTTGTCATGCTATTTATCAAATAAATCATAATCAATATTTATTATTTATTTTACAATATTACATAAAAATAATCAAAATATTATCTCTCTTTTTTATTTAATATATTTAAATATTTCCAAAATGATAAAAAAAATGATGTAAAAAACAAATCATTTGTTTGATTCAAATTCAAGTTTATTATATAGAGACTAATAAATAATAATATTTTAATATAAAAATACAATAGATAAAAAAACAAATAAACAAACTTTAGTTCTAATGCTATGAAAATGATTTTTTTTCATGCACCCATAGTATGAAAGATAAAATTTTAAGGTATCGAAATTTGAATTAAAAAAAAAATTATTGTTTTTTTCAAACCAATCAAATCAAAAGAAAAACACCCGATTCGTGGTATGTATTTTCTCTTGTCTTGTTGGGGCAAGTCTGCCTGGACTCTGGACTGTGTACGTGATTAGTGGTCAATGGCGATGCAATCAATTATCCAGTGGCAAATACTACAAATGTAGTGTACTACTGTACTATCTCTATCTGGACATTAACCTAAACGTCCTCGTTGCGGGCATTATCCATTTTCTTGCTCCCTGCTCTGCTCTGCTCTGCCAAATCCATCCATCAATCCAAATCTCCAACCATCCCCAAACTGGCAAAAGCTTAAAATAAATACCCTTGTTCCACGCCCAACTTGCACCGTTCACCACTGCTTCCATTAATTAATACTGTCGCTCGCCTTCATTCATTCATAATTCATGGAGATCTGAATTGAGGAATCAAGGGGGGATATGATATGGCTGCCGGATGCGATTCTTCTAAATGCCTCTCGATATTTTTCTTTCTTTCTCTTTCTCTCTCCCTCTCATTCTCTTATAACTCGCTCAAAATAGCAAAATTCCGCCTTCAAATGCCTCTGCCTTTCTCTTTCGATTAATTATTAAGTGTTTGTTGTTTTTGCCTCCATTCCCACTTTTAGAAACCCCTCTTTTGCTGCATTTGTGTGCTGCTGTTTCTATCTCTCAGCTTGCAATTGACGGAGATACGTACATATATATATATATATATATATCTGTATGTATGTTGGGGTATGGCTCGAGAGAGGATTCCGATAAAGAAGATTGACAACGTAACAGCGCGGCAAGTGACCTTCTCCAAGAGGAGAAGAGGCCTTTTCAAAAAGGCCGAAGAGCTCTCAGTTCTCTGTGATGCTGATGTTGCCCTCATTATCTTCTCTTCCACCGGCAAGATCTTCGACTATGCCAGCTCCAGGTCCCCCCCCCTCTCTCTCTCTCTCTCTCTCTCTCTCTCTCTCTACACACACATTTTTCATACTTATGTCTGTTGCTGTTGTTATCAGCTTAGCTTGATTGATTTCAGTGTCTTTTATCATCTCATAAGATTGAAAGTAGTTTGTAGTTTGTAGTTTGTGTGTGTGTGTTAATGAAGGGCTCAGAGCTGTTCTTGCTCTAGTGAAAAACGCTAAAATTCGGTGTAAACAGAGCCTTGTCAAGAAATTGATGAAAGTGCGTAGGGTTTGATGTAAGAAAATAAAGAAGAAAAAGACTTTTATGTGGAAAAAACTTGACCAAAGAGAAACTCCGAATGAGTAATTGAAATATATGATTTCTCTCCAAGATTTCACGACCAATTTGTTTCCTACAATTTTGTTTATGCGACAATGGAGGCCTAAACTTTAATGTGGTATTGTATGAAGTATGAAAGAAATACTCGAAAGGCATAAGTTGCACCCGAAGAACCTCGATAAAATGGATCAGCCATCGCTTGCTCTGCAGGTAATCTCAATCATTTCTAAAATTCATTTCCATCATAAATTGTATCATCTTGATTTCTTGAAATGTGGCGCAGCTAGTCGAGGATGGATTCTACAGCCGGCTTAGCAAAGAAGTGGTCGAGAGAAGCCATCAGCTTCGGTACACACCATTCTTATTCTTCCTTGATAAATTTTTACATTCGTGTAAGCTTCATTACATGCCAATAGGCACTTGAGAGGCGAGGAACTTCATGGATTGAACATCGATGAGCTCCACAAGCTTGAGAAGTCGCTTGAAGCGGGATTGAACCGTGTCATAGAAACAAAGGTCGGTGAGCAACGAAGAGATATTTCGGACAAATGAATACTAATTAACGTTTTTATTTTAGTAGTAGCGTAGCGAGCACATATTAAAGGTTGATTAGTAGTTTTGGTTCATGACAGGGAGAGAAAATCATGAAAGAGATCAATCAGCTCCAAGAAAACGTCGGTATCAACAACATTTTTGGATCGCAATTTATACGAATATTTGTTCAATCTTGTCTAGTTTCTTCTCATTGTTTACATTTTTCTGTAGGGAACAAAGCTCGTAGAAGAGAACCAACGACTAAGACAAGAGGTGTGCAACAATTTATAAAAACATGTGTTTTAAGACACGATTACGCTACAAATGCAACGAGCGTTGAACTAATGTGCTCATAATGCATTGTAAGGTGGAGGACATATCAACTGGCCGGAAAACAGTGGGAATGGGCGAAGAACCAGAGAATGTTGAAGAGCAGTCGCCGGAGTCAGTGACGAATGTGTGCTGTAATAGCTCGGCAGGGCCTCTGCAAGATTACGATAGCTCCGATACATCGCTTAGGCTAGGGTAAGTTTAATTGGATGAATAATAATCAATTTATGGATAGATTTAAGGGATTTTTTTTTTATGATTGTGTTGGTGTTATTGCAGGCTGCTGCCATACAGTGGTTGAGAAATTACTTTGAGATGAGATGAGATGGTAAGAAGTAGATGAAGACATTTTGGTATGTGATAAAGGATGTTGGACATGATTGATATGAATGTCTCTTCCTACAATATATAATTGTCTCAACTTCAACTTTTGGTTGTTTGAATCTGTATGTTTGTTTGGTACATGTTTGTGTGGGGAATTCATTCAATGTTCTTGCACAATCTTTTTTTTTTTTTTTTAAAAAAGTTACAGTGACTCTAAATACAAAATGATTAATAAATAATTAAAAATATATCAATAAAAATAAATATATTTATTATAATAGAGAAAGGGGGAGTTGAAAGTGAAAGAACAAAGTTAGTGGAGTGAATGGATTTGATGTGTATTTCATTCTCATCCATCCATCTGCAAATAAAAGGCATTATATATATATATATATATATATATATTTATTTATTGAATAAAAAAAAACAAAAAAAACAAAGACCTATTATCATTTGCCTACAATACAACACGTATCTTTGTTGTGCCTACGTGTACGACAACAAGCCATTTGTCTTACCTTTTCTTTCTTCTGTAATTTATTGAAAAGAATCAGGTCAAATATACAAATATCAAAAAGTTGGGTGGCTAAATAGCAATCATAATCAGTCAAACGAGCAGGAGGAACCAACGAAGCAATCGTCCAAAGTGCATGAATTATCGTCAGCTCAGCTCAGCTCAGCTCAGCTGATTTCTACAAGAAATTGAATTTGTTCATGCGTGTGGGAATCTCTAACCGATATATTGATTCCGAAAAGGGATCATCCTGGCTCCCCAAGTAAAAATGGAATTTCTTTGATAAATAGCCCTTAGGGGATTTCTTCAACTCGTTTCAGATCTGCTAATTCGATCCGATGGATTCTCATCTTTCCTGAAATAGATTCCGTTGCTTATTCGAGCTCGGATTGAATTTTAGGGATTTCTGTTCCTTGTTTTGTCGATTGTTGCTATAAAATTCTTTGAATTTGCTTGATTTTTGAGATTGTGGCTTCGATTATATCTCTGCGATCTATTAAAGAGGCTTGAGAGTATTGATCTAGGGGTTTTTTTATATATATTTCCTCGTTTGGATTCCGCATATATCAATTTGGTGATATTTTGCCAATGAATAATCTTCAAGATGCCTCTTGAGGGACTATGGCTCGATAATTTGATGAAATTTGAGCATATGATTGGTAGTATTATTATTTATGTTGGGGCTTAGAATGAATTCATTTTATGTTTTTCCTCTGATTGTGGATGGAGCCATAATTTTTTGTTTTTCTATCTGAATTTCTTCAGCTTCGATCAATTAATAGATTTGTGGTGTGTATAGTTAGTCTATTGTTTAAAAAGGAGAAAGAAAACATGGCGTTTTCTTTCACTAGACTTTCATGGTTGTGGTTGGGTGGGAAGGAGAAAGAGCAGAGCTCGAATGGGTCGTTTGTAAACTCAGTAAGTTCATTGGGGGTTGATGGGGGCTTAGGATCTAGACGAGAGGGTGATAACTTGAGGGTTCATTCATTTAAGGGGATGGATGGAGGGATGCTTTCTTCGACTTCGAATAGGAAAGCAAAGAGGAAAGGGAGTAGGGAATATCGAATTTGTAGAATGGATGAAAAAGATGATGCTGTTTCGGTGCCTTTGGATGGTGCCTTTTTACCGGGGTCGGAATCTGATGAATTAGACTGGTCTATCGGGTGGCTTGAGCCACATGCCCCCGGTTTCCAGAGTGATGTCGAGGCAGATAACAGTTTTGCAGTCTTAGTCCCTTGCTACAAGCGTAATTGTGATGAAGCAAATGAGAGCAAGCCAGTTATTCCATTCTTGAATGGGGTGAAGCATCCCCAGATTGAGTATTCATCTGGTAAGAGCTTTACGACTTGGTTATAACTATAATTGCATTGGTAATTTTATTTCACTTATACGATATCTTATTATAACAGCTTTATGAACTATGAATGTCAGTTTGATTGATTAATCATCGCTGCCAAGATTGTTCTTTATGTGCCTAAAGATTACATTTCTCTGTTCTGTTAACTCTATTCTGCAATTGTCGGGTATTTGCATGAGCTTTTAGGCTTTGAAAATTAAAATGTTTTGGTGGGTTTACATTCATTTATGTATTTTATACTTATCGTATGGTTTTGTTTAATGATATAAAGTGAGATAATAATTCAGTGATTTAGTCCATCAATAATGAACTTGTAGTTTACTGAACTTTTATCTTCATACTAACTTTTAATTAATATACATTGGTACGGTGATTTTGTTTATATGCTTGAAAGCCTTTGAACAAGAAGAATACTCTCAGCACAATACATGCCTCTCGTCTGTAGAAAGGCCTGATTTTCTGAATTTTGTTGACGAATCTGTTCTAATTTCCTTGCTTTTGTCAGTTGTAAAATTTTCCATGTTCTTTAGAGGTTTTCGATGTGTTGTGCTGGTTTTAGATTGTGCATAATCGGAAGTTTGTTTATTGGCATTCTTACATATTCGAAAAGCTAAAATGGTGATTAGAAACTGGTGGTAATGAAAAGTATGCATATTCGATTTGATTATTTATTTTATTTATAGTTTAGGTATTATATATCGTGATCATGAGAATGTAGCAAAATGATTGATGGTAGGGATCAGCATGTAGAGTCTATATTTTGTGGGTACAAAGTGTAAACATAATTGAATGTAAAATAGAGAGTATTAATTATATATTCGTCAAATTTTTATATACCCACACCACCGGAGAAACTAGTTAACTTTTAAGGAAATAACATGTATAATAGATTATGAATTTGGAAATTTCTTTAGGATTCAAATCACATCTAAACAAGGGTTGAGTGTTTTTTTGTCGTCATTTTGCAGATGGGACAAAGTATGTGGAGCTGTGGCTTTCGTATCTCCAGAAATTTTGAAGCTGCCGGGCTTCTTGTTGTAATCTTTTGAAACATCAGGATCGTTTGTATTTATTGTGAAACTTGATTGTAGATACAAATAAAACAGTCAGTGTTTCTACTTGGAAATATTCCATGTAAATTTGTTTGATTGGGCGTAGAATGTATGTATGTAGGTAGCATTTCCTTGATTCAAATCGCTATTCTTGGGTTCACATTTGTTGTACAATTAATACTCGAATTGGCCGATATGGTACGGTATTCGATTGTACATGTGTTGTGTTGCTACTTGCTAGTAAAGCTTCATTGTTTTTGTGTATTGGGTCTTTTATTTCCATTGTTTTTAAATAAAATAACTGTTGAATATAATATTTTATATAAGGTATTTATACTTTTATATCATGAAATTACTTCTATAAGTAAATTTCGGATTGAATGTTTGGATTTTAATCAGAAAGATTTTGTTTAAATAATATTTAATTAGATTTATAAACATATATATATATAGTATATACTTTATTTTTAAATATATAGTTTAAATAGTATAAATTATTTGTTTTTAGAAAAACAAACCTATAAGTTTTATAGGGTGTTTTACACTTCAAACAGTATTTTTTTCTCTATTTTGGGCTTTAAATTTTAAATTTTTTTTGTTTACAAAAAATTCTATTATATATTATTTTCATATCAAATTAAAAATAAATTTTTTTTAAAAAAATCCCATAAAAAAATAGACCTATAGTATATTGTTCAAATATTAAATTTATTTAAAATAATAGTAGTATACATAAATTATCGGTTATACTATTATTATTATTATTATTATTATTTCTTTTACTTGCAATGGCTTTTATTTTTTTAATCTTCAAAATTAAATTAGGCCTCTTTCAGTCCCCCAAAGATCATCGTCAGTGATCGCTTCCACGAGCCCTTATTCCATTTTTGACCTATCGAAACCCTAGAAAAAAAATTCTGTAGCGTTTTTATCAATTTTGATCATCTCGATTTGATTTTCTGCTCAAATATCCGTTCTTCATTGGTAAGAAGCTTCCAATTTCACTGTGTATGTGCTCGATTAATATCTATTTCCTATGTATGGATCTCGCGGTTATTCCATTGGGTTGGGACTTGGGGGAGAAGATATCTTACGGAAACTGGTTCAATTCATTGGTACTTTTTTCTAAGACAAGCATGCCGAGTCCTTTTCGAGTTTCTCTATGAGTTTATGGGTGGGTTTAAAGCAAAAGCGTTTCGTTTATAAACAGATTTTTCTTAATTGTGGTTCTTTCCTTAATTTTTGTTTGTTGTAATTGCATAAGAATTTGGGATTCTGTCTTGGTTTATGTGAACACTCTGGAAGGTGTAGAGAAGAATTTGAGAATTTCCCCTGGTTTAGTGCTTCCTAGTAAAGATCTCTTATTTGGTTATATGATTAAGTACAACAGGAGAGTTGATTGCCGGAGTTCTTATTCTCGACGTTACAGTAAAATGTTGTTCCTAAAAGTCTTGAAAGTAATCCTCAAAATGTTTTTACTGATTGAGTGATTGTTAAGAAAGAGATCTTCATAGTGGGGCAAGTGGGTTCAATTTTTTTTTTTTTTTCTTCATTATTTGATAGTGCTTGCAAGATTGATAAGCATTTAAGAATTTTGTGAATTCGTTAAACAAGTTCTTAATTCCTAATGGAGCTCTGATGCTTAGTTGCTCTTCTCCACTCAACCTGAAGCTTGGAGTGATACTGGGCAAACCAACTTGCAAATTCTGAACTTGAAGTGCATTGCTTGAGCAGAATTTTAAGAAATGGCAATGACTGTGGAAGGTTTGTTTTCTATAACCTATTCTATGAATCACAATGATATCATATTAATCATATTTTGAGTTTCGTAATATTTAACTAGAGGGCATAAATGTTCATAGTTAGTCTGCTATGTCCATTTATGGCTCTTTGTGCCTGCAAAATTATAGAAGTGCATTGATATCCTTACTGACTTCCTACCTATGTTCCTCAAACCTTTCTTTGTCACATCTCTTGATAGGCTCAGATATACGTCCCTACTTTGAATGGAATTCAATTGTAATACTGTTTATTTTTTATCTAATATGTTAAAGATTTGAATTTAGGTGCACACTTAATTCTTAAGTGTTTGAGATATTTATGAGAATGAGTGTGTATTGGGAACAGTTGGATGCTGTGTTGAAGTATCTTGATTCAAGTTACTAATTTTGTTTTGTAGGTATTACTTAATTCAATTGTATTGTTGTCCTCTACGGTAAAAAAGTTGTTACTTTTCCTTTCTTGTGTATCACTCTCAAAATTATCCTGAACTCAAACTTCCGGTCATTTGGGTTTTTGATTTGGCCTATGAATTAGCTGAATTTTGTTTAAGTATATATTTGCAGTAGTTTATATTGATGTGTTGAAGTATCTTGATTCAAGTTACTAATTTTGTTTTGTAGGTATTACTTAATTCAATTGTATTGTTGTCCTCTGCGGTAAAAAAGTTGTTACTTTTCCTTTCTTGTGTATCACTCTCAAAATTATCCTGAACTCAAACTTCCGGTCATTTGGGTTTTTGATTTGGCCTATGAATTAGCTGAATTTTGTTTAAGTATATATTTGCAGTAGTTTATATTGATGTGATACTGCCAGATACCCACATTTGGGAATACTTCAATTTTGTTTGATATTAGGTTTTCTTTTTTTTTTTTTTTTGTATATATATAAGTTTTTTTCCCTATAATACTGCTTCAGTTGAACCTAATTCTGGTTTTTTTTTTTTTTTTTTTTTTTTTTTTTTTTTTTTTTTATGTTTCTTTTGCGCCTTCTGGTTATTTGCTGTCATGCAATGGTCTGCTCTGTGGATGCAGTGTAAGTGATCTGTATTATTTCATTATTTAGCTCAATTTCTAATTTATTCTGTAATTTTCCTGCATATAATATCATACAAGGAAAAAATGATATGCAAAATTCATCATGTGGTTTGTGTTTTTTCATGTTGTGGTATTGCTTCATCATCTTCTGTCATTATCGTGCAGTCTTGCAGGGCTTGCTTTCATGTTTTCATCTAGCATTCTTCTCCAAATTGTGGTAAGCGTTCAATGCATACCTTCAGGGTTTCTTTGTACCTTGTCCTGTAGTTATGTAGCTGCTTCAGGCTGGCTTTAGTTAGGCACACCCGAACTAATTTCAGTAGGCAACTAGACTCAGTACATGATTTCTATCAAAATTTCACTTGTTGATTAATTATCCTATCCTCTCCCTTCTCTTGCTCGTTAGGTTCTATGATATTTTATTATCGTTTATTTTACCCATTACTGCTTTTTTGCATCATCGTATAGTTATGATGCCATACTAATGATAATTACTTTCTGATGGTTCTCATTGTAATCATGGATTCAGGCATGTGTCATATACAGCAATTGGTGGCCAATGCTATCAGGTTTGTACTATTGGCTTGTGTGTTTATGCTTAGGGATGGGGATAGAATTAGGTTCGGGTTGATTATGGGTGGGGGCCGGGATATCTAACCCCCCATTGCCTTTTTTATGTTCAATTGGTTTGGTTTGGTTTGGTTTGTGTAATTGTGTGTTGGTTAATGTAACTGGGAATAAATTTGAATCAATTTTAAATAGAATGAAATAATAAAGTATTAAATTTTCCCAACTAATGGGATGGAAAATGGATTTTACCCAATTTTAAGTTGTTTTATTTTTGTGTAACAAATCAATAATAGTATCTTGGTGAAGCTATGTTTAGTGGACTAGGTTTATCTGTGCTATTTGGAGATTGGATTTATGCTGCAGCATGTTAATCAATTAATCATTTTTCTAAACATAGTGAGACTTGTTTTCCAGCTCTAATGTATGTTCTGGTACCGATGCCTTGCCTATTCTTTGGTGGTGGCTCCACACAGTTCCTACTCAGTCGAGATGGTGGTGGGTGAGTATAGTCTTGTAGATGATCTCTCTGCTCTCCATCTTGTATTTATTTTTGGCAATTTTCACCTTTTTTTTTGTTCAATATTTCAGCTGGATGGATGCTGCCAAGTTCTTGACTGGGGCATCTGCTGTTGGAAGTGTCGCCATTCCGATCATTCTAAGGCATGCCGGATTGATTGGGACTGGAGCAATGTTCATTGAGTTCACCTCTTTCTTCATATTCGTCTGCACAGTTCTATGCTTTCATCGCGCTAGTCTTGATGACGAGTGGTAAAATTTTGTGTAGTTTGCCGATAATTCTAATTATAAAGCTTTTGCTGCAAATATTGATGAGAGCTAGCGAACAAACCAACCAATGACATTGATGGAGAAATGTCTGTCTAAACTTGTACAGATAAAGTTATTGTTGGCTGAGCTTTGTATCTTGTGAATGTATGACCATAAAATTTAATCCAAGGTATAAAATCCCCTTTCAGATGTTGAAGTCCTGCAATTCAATAATTTGGATAAATTTTTTGTCCAATTTAACTATCTGCAAATTGAGCCAATGAGGTAAGTCACACATACGAATCATCTCCAAATTGGGCAAAATTTAAAGTCATGACCTGACAATATTAGTTTGCCAATTTTGCTCATGAAGAGGTCTCTTTTTCAATTATAATTGTGTTTGGTAAATATAATGCATTGGCTAGTATTGAACTCTTTCATCGTTGTGTCGACGGCAAATTAAATTAAATATATACAAACTTGTAACACATGAAATATTAATCAATTGATATTAATAATATGTATATAATACTTATCTTTATATAGATAAAAGTGTATGTTAAATATAAATTTATCCTTCTTGTTCAATATATATTCATGAATATAACGTAACATGAATAATAATTTAAAGCAATAATATGCATTAATCTCTCTCGCATAGCATTTAAACCATTATTCAAATTATTATTTTAAAAAAGAAAAAAAAAAAGAAAGTCACCAACATTTCAATTAATTGGATATTGATTCAAATAAATTTTAAAAGTTTCAACTATTTGTTTGATTGAATTCAAATAAGAAATTAAAGTAAAATTTATAAATAATTGAACCAACTCAATTTTTACCTAATTCAGTAAAGTAAAATTTCTATTAGTTAAATACAATAGTTACTTGATTTTATTCTCTTTGAATTTATTTTTTTCAATATATATGTATTTATAATTTTTTTTTTTACATCAAGCATCCAATAACTTTAATCCAATATATTTTATTTTATTTTTATTTAATACAAATATCCAATATAAGTAAGTTTACAAATAGTTGAATCATGACTCTTACCTAAACAAAAATTCTAACTATTGAGGTTATTAGATTTTATTATTTAAATTTTTTTTATATAACTTTATAATTTTATTCTTCTATAAATATTAAATCAAATATCCAATAACTCTAACTTTGTATATTACAAAATTTGTTTGATTCAATCCAAATATCAGATATATGTAAACTTGTAAATAATTGAACCATATCCGGTACAGTAAAAAAATCTGTAAATTAAAGATTAAGGAGAAGTAAATATATATAATCACAAATTCAAGAAAACTAATCATTACATGTGGAGATCATCACAAAAATAGGACTGTAATGGCAAAGAGTGATGTTGGAGCTACAAATCCTCTCATCCAAACCATTCCATCCTCTTCCCTTAAAACATCATTCTTTACTATTTTTATCCAAATGTTTCATTCCAAACTTTTCTTTTCAATTCTTCAAGATTTCTTCCCTGATCATTTCATTCAATAGAAAAAGAAATTACAAAAACTAAAAGAATTTTTTTTAAAAAAAATGTGAAAGACTAGAATTGAGGAAGAACATAAAAAATCATCATTTTACGGGATATAGAAGAAGAAGAAGAAGAAATGTTGCAGAGAGCAGCAAGCAATGCCTATTCATGGTGGTGGGCTGGCCACATTCGGACCAAACAATCCAAATGGCTCGAACAATGCCTCCGAGGTAACTAAAAATTACATAATTGTATATAAGAAAAAAATTAAAGAAAACATTACCATAGTATTTTATTTTGATATTTCCATTTAAATAGTATTTTAATACGATCGTAACCATCATCATCAGATATGGAGGAGAAAGTACACGAAATGCTGACAATGATCGAACAAGACGGCGACTCGTTCGCCAAGAGGGCCGAGATGTACTACAAGAGGCGCCCCGAGCTTATCAACTCCGTCGAAGAGGCTTTCAAGGCGTTCCGCTCCTTGGCCGATCGCTACGACATGTTATCCAAAGACCTCCAAAACGCCAACCACACCATCGCCACCGTCTTCCCCGACCAGGTCCAATTTGGTTTCGAGGATGACGACGACTTCCCCATGTCGAAGCTTCCCAACCCCATCACCCATCCCGTCGCACCCCCCGACATCCCCCAAGTCCCAAACATGCCGAGTAAGGACTTCAAAAGAGCCATGTCCGCCGCAGCGAAGCAGCTCCAAGCGAAGAAATCGTTGCGAGCGCGATCCCTTGTCGAAAATGAGGAAAAACCGGGCCTAACCCGGGACAAAGCCTTGGAGGAGATCAACAAGCTTCAAAAGGAGATCCTCTCGTTGCAGACGGTGAAGGAGTTTGTAAAATGCTCGTACGAGAGCGGCGTGGCCAAGTATTGGGATATCGAAAACGAGATTACGACAATGCAGAAGAGGGTGTCGAGGTTACAGGACGAGTTCGATATTGGGAGCATCATCGACGACAACGAGGCGAGGACATTGATGGCGGAGACAGCCCTGAAATCATGCCAAGAAATGCTCGTGGCGGTGCACGAGAAGCAGGAGAAGATGAGTCGGGAGGCTCGGGAAGAGTACGAAAGAATTGAGGCTGCGTACCAGCGCCTTCAGTCGATCAGGGAACGGTATTTGCAAGAAAAAACAGTCGCAGAAAACTCGAAGAAAGACGTTCGAGAATTCGAATCGGTGGTCGAGAAAGGACAAGAGGATGGCTCGGACCCGATGTTCGGTCCAAACATGACGGTGTCTGAGATGGCGGAGAAGATCGACAAGCTTGTGAGCAAAGTGATCGGCTTGGAAGCAACCGTTTCATCGCAGACAGTTCTCGTCGACAGTCTGCGATCCGAAACAGACAATCTCAACACACAGATTCAGACACTGGAGGACGAGGAGAATCGAGCGAAGGACACGGAGGAGTTACGGGAACGAGTGAGGAAGGTCGAGGAGCAGTTGAGTCGAGCTCAGGATTTGAACGAGAACGTCCAGAGCCAGCTCGCCGAGCTATTGACGAACTTCAACGAGGCGAAAACGAGCCTCGACTATTTATCGGAGAAGCTGAGCAGCGTCAAACCGGATGAAGAGGTCGAACACGAAAATGACCACGACCACGACCCTTCCGAGGATGAGCCAGCCTTGTCTGAATCAGACAAGGATGTCGAAAACAGCCCCTACGATGCACAGGCTCCGAAAGCCAAGAAGGAAATAAGGAAGACGGTGTCGCGTCTTTTGGACAGGAATCCAAAGGACCCGAAGGTAAGAAAGGACATCTGTGAAAAGGATGACGACGACAACGAGGTGCAAGAAAGCGTCGAGAAGCTGAATTGGCAAGAGATGCTCTTGAATGGTACGGAGGATGGCGAAAAGATACTCATCAAAGAATACACGACTCTTCTACGGAACTACAAAGACCTCAAGAAAAAGCTCCGGGAGACGGAGATCGAAAACGACAACCAGTTCGACGCAACTTTGCAACTAAGCGAAATGAAGAATATCATCACTGAGAAGGACGAAGAAAACCGGTACCTTCGCGAAAAGCTCGAGTTGCTTCAGGGGAAGGTCGACGAAAAAGAAGAGGATGTTCGGGACAAATACAGGGATGAAGAGATCAAGTCGATTTACATCGAAAAGCTTCCATCCCTATCGAATGTCGAAGAAAAGATTCGATCAGAGATCGATGGGATACTTGACGATAACTTGGAGTTCTGGCTAAGCTTCAGCACATCAATCCGTGAGGTACAAAAGTTCCGGACCGAAGTTCACGACCTGCTGAGCGAAATGTCGAAGCTCAGCGACAAGATACAGCAGTCGGGAAACGTAAACTCGATGAAGTCTGAGGCAAAGGCAATGTACAAACATTTACGCGAAATCCAGCGGGGGCTATCGCTATGGTCAGATCAGAATGCGTCGTTGAAAAACGAACTCCGGAACAGATTTGCATCACTGTGTAGCATTCAGGAGACAATCGCGAGGACGTTAAAGGAAGAAGTCGAGGGAGATGAGATCAGATTCGGCAGCCATCAAGCTGCAAAATTTCAAGGCGAAATCATGAACATGAAACAGGAGAACAATAAGGTAAGGAATGAGCTTCAGGCAGCCTTAGACCTTGTAAGAATACTTCAGATCGAAGTCGAGAAAATGCTGAGGCAGCTGAACCAAGAACTTGGCATAGGCAGCGAGGATCCCGAAAACCAAAAACGCCCGAAGGTCCCTCTCCGAGCATTCCTCTTCGGGACGAAGAAGAAGCACAAGACGTCGCTTTTCTCATGCATGCATCCGAACAAACGGCACACGGCGTTAAAAGATAGCACACGAAGGACGAAACATTGAGCACAGATAGATCGAAAGGAAATAGTGTTTATTTTTCAGTATGTAAAGCATTCAACAGAGAGTTATCGTCGAAAACAGACAGTATTTTCAACTCATACAAGCTCGCTCGGGTGTTCTAACTGTACAGCGAATCTCTGTCATTGTCGTCGCCAAGCAGCCGATCTCTTGTTTCGCCAATCCTGGATTAGGGACCTCAGAACACGGTTCGGCGTGAGAAGTTTGTGCTTCAGCCTCAAGTTCGTCATAGGCGAAGTATCGTGCCCCGACTTTAGCCACTCGTCGATGGCCTCGAACTCGTACGAGAATCCATCCGAAGCAAGATACGGATTCCTCATCACATCCTGTAAAAAAAACTTCTTCTCAACGCGAAAGATCTTATCTTATTACAATGTAAGAACCTCACAACATCGCAAAATCTAACCTGGTATATCGGACATAAGAATGCACTAGGGACATCGCCCATCTCCTCGACATGGATCGATTGATGTTCCAAAGGTTCATACTGACCCTCCACCAGTAGCTCGTCCGCCCTCTTCGTGACGCCATCAATCTCCTCTACCGGGATTTCTGTTACCGTCGATAAGCATCTCATCGCAATACCGTAAAGCTCAACAGCCAAATCCATAGGCCATTCACCGTCTAAATGGTCTAAAAAGTCGCCATTGTCGGAATCACTGCCCATCCCGATTTCCCAATTCTTCCCGGTGAGAAGCTGAACCAAAATATTCCCGAATTCTCGGATATCCATCGATATGTCGAGCTCATTTTCCCGACGAGGGTTCTTCAAGATGTTGATTTTCGCCCCTTGGTATCGATCGAGCAAGATTTTGGAGGCTTTGATGTTTCCGTGGACAACGGGCTCCGGTTTCGCCTTGTGAAGAAAAGCCAATGCCGAGCACACCTCGGACGCTATCCGTATACGCACATGCCAATTATATGGCTGGCTCTTTTCGCCCGAGAACAGCACATCATGTAGACTCCGGTTGTGCATGTATTCGTATACAATGCAGTCGAGCTCCGAGCAGAAACCGATCACGGCTACGATGTTCGGGTGCCTTAATTTGTTCGCATATTTCACCTACAACAAATCAATATCGATTACACTAAAATAGCGACAAACACTCGAAAAACCAAAGCACAATCTTGAACCGTACCATCGATGCATAACTTTCGAAGGATCTCACATTTGCTTGATTGTATACTTTGATTGCAACCGTCGTACCATTCAGTCGACCTTTATAAACAGTGGTTAAACGACTGGTTGACTTCATCCTCAATCGTTCAGAGAAATCCTCTGTGGCTGCGAATATCTCTGGTGCAGAGAATTCCCTAAAATCGAAGGCAATGCCATTGTCGAACTTGGATGCTTTCCCTATAGCATCCTTCTCCCGACAAAACTCAATCCGGCACTTCAAAACCTGTCGGTGCTTCCTCAGTTCGTCGATTTCGTGAACCATGTTGGATCTTATTCTTACAGCCTTATCCAGCTGAACCTCGGCACGCGCTTTAGCTGACGACGAGAGGTGAAGCCTGTCCGAAAGCTCTTTCTGCAGCTCAAGAATCGAGCTGAGCTTCTTCCGTTTCTCCTCCACTTCGCAACGGAGTTCATTTACTTCTTCCTTTCGGCTCTCGAGTTCTTTACTCAGATCGGCAGTCTTGACGGCCTCAGAGTTCAGGCAGGCCTCGAGCTCTTCAGCCTACATGCAACATAATTTCTTCTTATAAGATTCCCATCGGTTTCAACTAAATCGTCGAAAGTGCACAAACTCACCCTAGCATGGCATATACCAACAGCCCATCGAGCTTTTTCGCCCCTTTCTTTAGCTACATGCACTCGCTCCTTGTTCGATTCGATAGCCTCTTCGGCTTTCCGTATTTGGCTTTGAATAGATTCGAGTCTTTCTGCAGCATCCTGACAACCATTCAACCAAATTAGATGAGTTCAAACGAAAGAACAGTGAAAAATGTTTAATTGTATACCATAACTTGTGGCATATGCAGATCAATGGATGTTCGATTATCCGATCCAACAACATCGCCTTCCTCGTCATGCAAGGAGATTAGTTCATCCGCGTACTGCTCGATTTCCTGACCAAATTTCATCCATTGATTGACCACACCGTCGTCGGCTTTCGAAGAAGAAGCCAAATCCACATTCTCTGGGAACATCCTTCCAATCCAAGCTTTTATGCTGTTACTCCTTTCTTTGATACTCGCAACCGTAACTTCTCTATCGTCTTCCACAATGCCGCCCTCATCGTCGACGTCTCTGAGGAAAACTAACCTCCCCCCACATATCACAAATACCTCACAAAACTCCGGCTTGTGACGAAGAATGTAAAACGATCTGCTAATGGCTGTTCTTGATTTCCTATATACATAGACACGGAGTAGTGTAAGAAAACATTTTCGCAGCAATTATTTCCACCTCAAAATGTTCAGAAACCAAAAGAAACACAGATTCGTGGATGTATACAATGATGAGGACTTGATGAAGCCGAATGAGAGCACTAATTTGGTTATCCGAAGATTCGAGATGATCTCGATCATCTGCTCATCCAACGGCTCGTTTCTCTCGAGCTTGATAACCTCCGCCTTCGCCTGCACGATTTGCAGCAGCATTCGATACAGAAAGGACAAAACGAGGAATATATATATATATATATATATATGATCGAATCGATGCGTAATCAAACAGCAATTGCGATAATGAGATATGATTATGAACCTTGTTTCGACAATAGGCTAAGTATTGCGACAAAAGCTTATCGCTCTTGGCTTCCTCTGCCTTTTCAAGAGCATTCAATTTCTCCTCACTCACTGAACTCACATGAAGCTTTCCAACTGCGACGCCATTTCAATTTCAAGCTTATATATATGACAATTAATCTATCAATTAAAGATGCAGACGATTGATTTAAACTACGAGTGTGTAAAGTAAATTAGCTAGGGTTAGATGAGAGGGGATTACGCGGAGTATAAACGTAGTCTTTGGGGAAGGGCTGGGAAGGCCCGTAGAGGATGACTATGGAGATTGAGGACCATTTGGTGAGTGTCCATTGAAGAGTTGAAAAGCCATCGTACGAGTCTCTTCCAATGGCCACATACACTTTCTCAGCTAATTTATTGCAGCCGGTTCGGCTTCTGCTCGGATTCTCCATTGGACTGTTGTTGCAGGCGTAGAAGTAGCACCATGTACATACACAATGAACAAGATTGTATAGAAATTGAAGATTGATTGATTAAAAGGAAAGAAGAGGAAGGAGAAGAAGGGAGAAATTGTGCAGAAGGAAGGAAGGTTTGGGGAAATTAACGGGAAAGCGTGTGGGGATTGAATGGAATGAATCTTGATTTGATTTGGGGAAGAAGATCTTTTCAGTGTGAAAGTTGAGGAGCTGATTAAGGGATTAGATAATTGAAATGAAAATGGCATGACATCTCGGTCCCAAGGAGTATTATTTATTCGAATAAAAATAGAATATTCAAATATATAAATAAAAAGTTAAAATTAAATTTATTGTAAGGCGGAAAAATATATAACCGGTTAAATTAAGATCTAAGAGTTTTGAACATATAATTTATTTTTTAAGGATGTGAAAATTCGCAATCGCTAATCGAAAATGCATAATTTTTTTTTTATGACGTGGAAATCCACCGCCGCTACCGAAAGTACGGGATAAATCTCCGGCCGAATCTCCTGCAAACCAGGCCCGGAAAAGTCACACTAGCCGGGTAATTTTGAAATGATGGAAGATGGGTAAAATAAATGATTAGGTGGGTTGCGGTGCTTTTAGGGGGGATTAGTTGGCAATTTAGAGCCATAATTTTGGACTTTTCATTACAATGCCCAAACGGTATTTACAAAGTGTGGTCCCTCTTAACATACTTTAATCATTTGGGATTTTTGTTGGTGTAGTTTTGTTTTTTTTTAAGTATGTTTTTTATCTTAAATTTTTTTAATTTTATTATTTGAACTTTGCATTTTAAAAAAATAAAAAATACATATTTTTCTCTCACAAAATATTTCATTAAATACTATTTTAATATCAAATTCAAACAAAAATTTTACCAAACTTATAAAAAAGAAACATTCCCTAAGAAACAAAACGACACCAACAAAAATAAAACTAATATTTGTTTATAATTAATAAAATACTCCACTATATATTAACAATAACACCTGGGATGGGATTTGGAGAAGGGGGAGGACTCCTGGGATCTCAACTCCGGAAAGAGCGGGAATGGGGATTGTGTAAATCCCGGGGTTGGGGTCCCGGGAGTTTCCAATAATCAGGGACTTAGAAATTATTAGTACAAGTAATTTATGGCTCTTTATTTTGTTAACGTCTAAACAATGGTATCCCGTATAGGTATAGGGTTGATTAATGATTTGGACGTGTTTAGATTATTATAGGGTTGATTAATGATTTGGACGTGTTTAGATTATTATAGGGTTGATTAATGATTTGGACGTGTTTAGATTATTTTAGGGTCGTTTTTTTTACAGACGTAATTATATACTCCTGGTGTGGAATAAAATAAATTAGAGATGAAATGAAATGCAATAAAATTGTATTAAATATCATGTATTGGATTAGGTATAGAATATTCCCTTTGGCATCCTCTCTTAATAAGCAAGAAAATAATAATAATAAAAAATAAATCTTATCTTGACAAATGTGTTTTATATTTATTAAGTATATTTAAAATTAATAAATTTATGAAAAATATAAATAATATTTGTTTGGTGTAAGTTAGTGAATTCATTGGCCAATGAGCATGTGCCAAGTGGGTTATTGAAAAGACATCCACGTGTTTCCTATGTCTATAAGATATACACGCATGCATGTTTGTAAATATGACCTGACTGACTTCTAGCTCTAGGGTGCTTGTTTGGCACTTTTTGTACTCTTTACTAAGAAGTAGTGCATTGTTATTATACTTGACTGAGTATTTATATTTTTATTTTATTTATTAATATTATTATGAAGTAAACTAGTCATTAGATTTATTATATAAATAAATTTGTTTATGATTCAATCTTCACTTGATGTTTTAATTCAGTGTAATTTAAGATAGTCTATTGTCCTATCTTGTAAGTTCTCATCATAATTTCGTCTAAGTTTTACTCACTTGCTTTAATATTTCTAAAAATATATTTTCACATACATATATAGTGCAAATAAAAGTGTTTAATCCATTTAGTTCATTGTTTTTTTCAAAAAAAAAAAAAAAATAATGTCATTTTCTTATTGATTTGAATATTAATTTATAAAGAAAGATAAAGAGAATTCTATTTTCATGATATCTTGGCCAATTCAACATGTATAAAGAATAAAATAAAAGTTAACTTTTGTAAAGGGAGTTAGTTATTTGTAAGAAAATTAGTATGAAAAAGTTATGTAGAATTTGAATTTGATGAAATGTATCTAATAAAAGTATCTTTTGTTTTATCTCATAATTTATATTAAAAGTACTATTTTAAATTTTTAATAATTATATATACCAAATAAATAAATTGTTATGATATTTCTCCCATAAATATCATATTCAAATAAATATATATGTGCCAAATAAATATGCATTTCTATACTCTTATTTACTGTAGCATGGATTGAAAATCCTTCTGAATTTCGAAATTAGATTCTCTTAATCCCACTTATATATATATATATATGTATATTTTATAAATTTATATATTTTTTATTATGGCAAAAATAGTCTGCATATTTTTATACTAATAAAAAAATTTAATTTTTATGTAAATTATAAATATATTATTAATATTTAAACAGAATTTTAATACAAATGAGGTTAATATATTTGAAAATAATAAAATTTTCAAATTACTTTAATATATTTTTATTATTAATAAATTATTATTATTTAGTGATCTATTTATGTATATGTTTGAATAGGATAAAGATAAAGTATTTATTTATTTATTTTGAAAAAAAAAAAAAAAAAAAACTCATCCCATTGGATAATATGTTCATATTAGCACGGCCCATTTACATACAAAAGTCCATAGCAACCTTATATTCAATTGTGGGCTTTGTTTGCAATCAATCTTGTATACATTGATTAGTTATGAGGCTAATAATTCTTTAAATTTGTATAAAAACTTGCACATAATATTCCTTTTAATGATTATTGATTAGACAAAATTATATATATACATATATATATGTAAATAAGTCATTAAAAACATCTATTTTATTTCTTTTTATTTATAGACGATTATATTATAATATTTATTTATATACAATACAATGTCATTCTCCTAAGTAATTCATCATTCTTAAAGCTTCTACTTAATCTAAATATGTATCTATCTGTTTTATTTTTACACTTTTTTTAATATTAATATTTTACAAGTAAATAGTAAAAAAGAGAGATGAATAATCAATATGCAAAAAATATAAAATATAATATATTCATTCCATTTTTCATAAAAATATAATAATATTATACAATTTATTTACATTTTAAAATAACAATAAATATTAAACTTTTGATATTGAAAAATAATAACTTAAAAGAAAAATAATAAAAATGAAAAATAAAAATACACAATAACATGCCTTCAAATAGGACATTATGCTAAGTTTAAGAGATTGTGTGTTTTTATTTTATTTCAAAGATATATATATATATATATTAAAAATCTTGATACATTGCTAATATAAATGAATTTAAAATAAAATATGATATATATATACATGAATAAATGGTTGATTTCAGTCATTTGAATATAATTCACTTATCAATTATGTTTTGACAGATATAAAATATCACTGTCGTTACAGTTTCATTTAACTTTTTTTTTTTTTGTCATCTACAGGATGTATAATTTTAGAGTTTTTTTCTTTTCTATTTAATAAAATATTTTTTTTTGTATGAAGATTTAATATAATTTTATAATAAATTGTAATTGTATAATAAGAATATTTTAAAAACTCAAAAAAATGAACCCTAATTTTAACATGTTTCATTAAATGTTTCTATGATTCATCTTCACTTGTGTTTTTATAATTCAATGTAATTTTAAAATTGTTCAACAATAAAATTTTTTAAATTAGTCTCATAATCCAATGATTATATTATTTGAGAATTAGTTATTTCATATAGCTAAAACTAAAATTATCTAGAGATAAATTTTTGGTGGATTATGTCATATAATATTTGTCTAATTTAATTTTCTTGGTTAATATAATTTGTATATTTATTACATTAAAATTTATTCAACATGCATTCGAAAAGTAATGAGTATAATTCTCACATTATATATATATATATATATATATAACATGAGAAGGAAGAAGAAAGAATTCTTTTTGAGTTTAAGTATGTCAGGTGCTGACATGGCAGAAGAAATCTCTACAAAACGACCGCGTTTCTTAAAATATATTTATTTATAATGTAATATATATATATATGTGTGTAATGACATGGGTGACCACTATATACTACTCCATTAATTAATTAATCAATTATTAATTAATGAAACATTAATTCAATACTTAAGCAGGTGTGCACGTGCGTCTCTCCGCAATCGTCGAGATATTTTGGTCAAAAGATGCCGCGCACGTGCCTCCCTCGGTCAAAAGCCAGCCATTGTATTTCACGAGGTTCTAAATTTAATAATTACTACATGTAATTTCAAATTTAATTGACGGTTTGTTTACTTCTATATATATTAATTTTGATATTTTTATAGTAAAATATTGTTTAAATATGCATTTTAAATCAAACTTATATTTAATGTAATATTTTTTTAAAAAGAAAAATTAAAATTAAATAGTAAAAATAAGACAAATTGCATAAGATCCTTTATTTTTCATTAAAACAATACACAAAAAATTGCATAAATGTGTTACTGTTTATTTATTGTATACAATATTATTGGTATAAAGTATGCCATACTATTTTTGAAAAAAAAATGATGAAGATCAATAATCACACTTATTATGCAACCTTGTACTAAATAGAAATAAACATTATGAAAATTTTAATATAACTTTCAATTAATTAAAAGAAATAAGAATAATCACTACAAAAAAGAAAAAATTGTAACAGAAATTAGCGATGGATAGCATTAGTTATGTGAAGTTTATGGGCAAAACTTAATAAATTTCATCTCTAATATCATTAATAACAAAAAATATGAATTTAGAGAAGAAAAAATTTTGTTAAAAAATTATATTTACTTGTAATGAACTAATATTAACACTTATTTTTTTAAATTTAATCTAAGAAATTAGGTAAAAAAAAAAAAAAAAGTTGATAATGTATGTGTGATAATTAATCATATTACTTATAGTGATGTCAATGGTTGGGATGAACGCATACAAATAACCAAGATCCATGCAAAATTTAAGGTAGTGTTCTTTTGACAAAAGTTTAGGAATATTT